CCCTTGTGCTAACACTTTACTTGGGCAAAGGGAGCAATTAATGTTGGACGAATTATCGTGACATCAACTTGCTGAGTTGTGTGGGCAAGGTGATTACCCGGATCCTGCTCAACCGCCTCGAATGTGGCGGAAGCGCAGTGCTAATTCCGTTCGGGTTGCAGCACTATAGATATGGTGTTTGAGGCTCGTCAGTTGCAGGAGAAGTGCAGAGAACGACACCAGCCTTTGTACTCGCTTTTTGTTGATTTCACCAAGGCATTTGATACGGTGAATCGCGAGACATTTTGGTTGGTGTTGGCTAAGTTTGGTTGTCCGAGTAAATTTGCAAGTTAACTTGTATGTCTGCACAATGGTATGCGGGAGAGGGTGCAGCTGAGTGGCGAGACCTCGGATGAGTTTGCAGTTCTCTGGTGTGCAGTAAGGCTGTGTCTTATCTGCAGCCAGTTTAATATTTATCTTCATACCATGTTGTCCCCTGCGTTTGTTGCGGCTTGTGCTTACGGTGTTCGTGTGGAGCACCGTATTGAGTGTGGGTTGCTGCACATCCGTCGTTTCGCTGCGAGAACCCTTTTCTGTGAGGTAACGATCTGTATGCTGACGACTGTGCGTTATTTGGACACGGCGCGGATGAGTTGCAGCACATGACTAGTGCTTTGGGTTCGACAGCGGCCAAATTCGGGCTCACCATCAACATGAGAAAAACTGTCTGCTTCGTTCAGCCTTCGCCCTAGGTGCAATCTGTAATATTGCTGTAATTCAACATTGGTGCTGAAGTATTAGAGACCATCTCCCACTTCTGCTACCTTGGGAGTGTGGTTTCGACTGACCAGCAAATACACAGCGAGCTTCGTATCCGTGTGTGGAAGCCAGCGATGTCATTCGGGAAGCTTGAATACCGAGTGCGGAGCAACCATCAGCTTAACGTTGGCACGAAGCTGATGATGTACGAATCTATGATGCTGTCCCTTCTTCCATACGGCAGTGAAACGTGGACGATGTACCGTCGGGATGTGCGATATCTCGAGCGGTTCCATCAGCAGTGTGTGCGACGAATTTTGCGGATCGGCTGGGGCGCCAGAGTTGCAGACACAGAAGTGTTGCGCCGAAGTGGGATGTATGCAGTGGACTGCATACTTTTACTGCGACACCTGAGATGGCTCGGTCATGTGAGCTGTATGGATTCCACGCGGATACCGAAACAGATACTTTATGGCCAACTGAGTGCAAGGAAGCGGCACGTGGGAAAATCGAAGTTACGTTACTAGGACCTGATCAGCAATTTGTTTGAGCTGGCCTCGGTTGGAGCGTCACGGCTCCCTGGTTGGGGTCCAAAAGACGGTGAACACGTTTGGCTGGATACACTTGCTGACTTGGCAAGGAGCCGACCTCAGTGGCGTTCCTGCTGTGAGTTTCTTTGTCCCTCCCCATCCCTTCTAGCCTCCCCCCTCCATCTACGATTTCATTTCCTAGGGTAAAACATAATAAATTTTTTTCTTTTCGCCTTGTAGCTGGCTGGAAGCTTACCGGAACGATGCCTATCCGTTGCTGGTAGCTCAGCTGGCATGCAACTGTTGTGTCTATTTTTTCCTTTGTGTATTGTGTTATATGTATGTATGTATGTATTTCTTTCATGTATTGCGGCACAATAGCGGAGGTTTTCCCACCTCTAGCTGATGTGTATAATGATGATGAATGATGAGGACCGGATCAAAATGAGTCTGTCACGTTCTAATGTTGTTTACAGTTGTTGGGAATCGAAGGCGGTTGATCAGCATGCATGGCGCGATCTGATCACGGAGGCAGTTGCCGAGGTGCAAGAGAAAGCCTTCGTGCATGCGGAAAAGATTCGGCAGGTGCGGAAGTTTTAGGCGCTGATGGGCTGTACTCCATCGACGTCGAGCGCATGGTTCTGTAGCACATACTTTTGCGAGTGTCTGAGTCAGGCAGGCATTCGATTCACTAATGACATGCTTTTGTGCTGAGTTTCTTTATTTCAGGTGATTGATTTGCTATATTTTGTAAACGCTTACTTTGTTAAGTCATTTAAATGTCTGCTGAATAAGCTTACTTTTACTTACGCACGTCGCTTAAGTAGATTGAGGTTAAATTCGTTAACTTTTTCGCGTTTGTGGCATTTAAAATATTTTTTCTCTGATATCTTGAACTTATCGCGAATTGTTGATAACCACTTTATTGCATATGATCATTTAGTGACGAGTTAAGTCTGTATATCCGTATGCTTTATTCTCTAGTTTTTTGATATTGTCATTTCAAGTGATTGGCTGTTGTCTGACATCCCTGGTGTGGCTGCGCTTAATGTGCATGTTGACAAGGTGCCTACCTATCTTACATCCTCCACCTCGATTACTGACTCCAGGGGACTGTGCATCGTTGCTGGGGGGGGGACAGGGTGCACGGTTCTCATGGTCGTGCTAGGCTCAAAGAGTGGTTCCACCCAGTATGGGGAGCGGACTACGGTCCAATCAACGCATTGTGTGTGCTTGCTTCCCCCAATACAGCGTGCTTGTGTTTGCCTGTACAGGAGTGTGGGCCGGCTCCGTTGTTGAAACGTGCCTCCCATCCGCATGCCTCCCGGTCTTATTTCTTCGGGTTTACACTGGATATGTGGTGTGTGGATGGAGCTGTAAGTGGTGCAGCGCAAGGTGTTGGCGCAGGCGTCCTGTGGCTGTCCTAAGTAAGCCCCAGTGACTCAACTTCTGAACCAGATGTCGCCAACCATATACACATCGACATTTAACGACGGTTCTCGAGAGGTTGGAGATAAATCAATACGGCACCTGAGGACTGCTCATTTCCACCGTGAGAGCGGCTTAGCTGACTCAGCTGCAACTGATCTTTGCTTCCGCTAGAAGGCGCAGCGACACTGGCTCGTCTATACCGGCTGCGAACAACTGGGTCCTGCGCGCATGCCGACAATAATAAGGTTCTATGCTTAGCGGATAGCGTTCTGGTTTGCGCTTGTGTGACCTATTAGCCACAGTTTGAGCGGGTTTCTGAAGGCTTGGAGAATCCTTGTCTAGCTGAAATTGGTATAACGGGAAATCAGGTCTTTGCGCTGTTGAAAGGGATAAATCCTTACGAAGCTTCCGGCTCTTATTCACTTCATCCAAAGCTGTTGCATGAATTCACCGCGTGCGTGTTTTTAAAGTCGTTTTTCCATTGTGATTTACTTTTAGAATGGAAGGCTGTCTTGCCCAATTTTTTAGTGCGGTGACAGCAATTTTCCCGCCAACTACAAGCCTGTCAATTTGAACTGCGCAGAGACAAAGCTGTTTGAAAGTGGTGAGGGATTTAGTGGCGAATCACGTGAATAAATTTAATCTTCTCAGCACTCCACAATACGAATTTCCTAAGGGTTTCCCTTGTTTAGCTAATTTGTATCTCATGAAAGCCGGGTTGAGGCGGTGCACAGCAAAACTTAAGCATTCTCAGTGCGTCGGCACACTACTGCTGCTTCGCTGCCACGTGGCCACCACTAGTACTGCGTAGCCTAGGTTTACCGCGAGGCCGGTCTTACATATGTGGATTCCAACTGGTGACCTCTAGATTACCAGGCAAGCACCTTTTCCTCTCAGCCACCGACCGACTCGGTAAACAGCGGCCACGCTATAGGCGTGTTCTTTTGCTAACTTCTCGGACGCGTTTTGTACTGTACTGATTAAACTTGAATTCTTAGAGAATAGCTGGTCGTGCCCTATAACGCGTCTTTGGATTTATAGAGTGGAGAGAAATGTGTACGCTTGCGGCGTAGCTTTTCGCTTGGGCAAGCCGTTCCTAATGGCGTTCTTCAGAACTTAGTATTTGGACCGATGTTTTTCACAACCTATGTAAATGATTTGCTTGAGGAGCTCGAGGTACCATCCCTACTGTTTGATGATGACTTCATGCTCTGGAATACTGGGGATGTTCCTGGAGTTCTGTGGCAGCTCACAGTGTCTTGGATAGGGTCTGGAATTGGTCGACTTTATTGTTGTTGCCTATTAACCGTTTTCTGCATCGGAGCAACTAATCCCCCCACAAGATGTGTTGCTGACGGGATTGAAACCCTTGTTGTCATTCGGCAGGTTATTCTGGATGTTATTCACATCTCAGCTATTCACTCTGGCAATAATTACAAGTCTGTTTGTAGAGTTGCATATAACGTGGTTTATTCGCTGCTGCTTCAGAGTACCAACGCCCGATTTCTGTGTGAACTTACTCTCGGCTTTCGTGCAGCCCCACTTGGAATACTGTGTCTAAGTTTTTCCACCATATCTTGTTCGAGACAAGGAGAAATTAGAGTGAGTTTTGCAAGCGAATACTAAGTTAGTGCAGGGTTTGTGGAGCCATACATATTTACATTTGCTAGCGTTTTTGCCATGTGCCGAATACATTATCGTAGGATTCAAGTGGACCATCCTTACTTGTCGTATTTTGACGGGCTGTTCAGTCCTACTAAGTTACCGTCCCCGCTGTCACCCTTTGAAAGTTCACAATTTGTTTTCTGATCGGGTTAGAGCGAAAACTCGTTTTTTGCACCGGATTATTGAATGGTGGAACTCGCTTCCGGGGCACGTGGTTAGGGGATCTACGATTGAAGGTTTTGGACGCTCGCTCGATCCTCTTGACCAGCAGTACCAAACTTTTCTTTTCTATCGGACTTGTCTTCCGCTTTCGCTTATTTTTTCATATTCACATACCTTGGTATTATCGTTATTTAATCAACTGCCCTCTTGCTTTTCGCGTTTACTACTTCCTTTTTCTTACTTTACATAATCAGCCCAACAGGTACCGCTGGGACAGGACACGTGAACACTAACTGGTTGGCCAGAGTATGATGTGGTTTTGCTCTGGGGTCATCGAGATTTTAGATCGCCCTATAAAACCCTGGTTCAACGATCCGTAGATGAAGGGACAGTCACAGGGTTACCATATTCTTCTGCCTCCAATTGAACTTGGATTTAAGGGTACGATCGTTCCTTTCCTTTCTTTTTAGCTCTCATGATCTGTTCCTTATCCCACTCCGAGATTTTTGCATTACACCTCATGTAATTGAATGACCGGATGTTATTGCGTCGTTGTTCATGCTGGGGCCGGCTATCATGCAAGGGCTAAAGAAGAGTCATACAATGTTCTCTGTTCAGAAGCGTGCAAGGCATCCATCGAGATTCTTTCGAAAGGAGGCAGTGCTGTCGATGGCGCTGCTGCGGCAGTAGCGTATTTGGAAGACAATGACCTCACCAATTCTGGATTTGGCAGTAACCTCACGTTAAATGGACATGTCGAGTGTGATTCTGGCATGATGTGCGGGACATCTTTACGGTTTGCAGGCGCTGGTGCGATGCCGGGTATCCGTAATCCGATAATGATCGCCAAGCTCATGCTACTCGAGCAGATCCGTTCCCCAATGTGTGATATCGGTCGTGTTTCTCCAAGTATACTCTGTGGGAGAGGAGCCATTGAATGGGCTGCGAACAAATCCCCTGCCCTTGTGCAGCATCACGACCTTGTTTCCCATCGCGCATATTCTGATTGGAAAAAGTTCCGCAGTCTTTTCGACTGTTCTAAATCGGATGTTCCTGATTGCATTCCTCATCAGCCAAAAAGAATTCGTGCATCCCATATGGACACCGTCGGTGCTGTGTGCTTCGATGTTGATGGCAATGTTGCATCTGCCGTCTCGAGCGGCGGCATTGCTCTGAAACATGAGGGACGCATTGGCCAGTCAAGCATTTATGGATGCGGTTGTTGGGCCGAACAAAGTCCTTGTTCAGGTAAGGTAGGCGTGGTCACTTCTGGTACCGGTGAACAGCTGATTCGTACTCAGCTAGCTCAGCGTTCAGCAGAAAGTTTATTGAACTCTACACATTCGACTATCCCGGATATTTTGACTTCAACACTGAAGCGAGATTTTTTAGACTCAAGGTTCCTCATTTCCGACAAACAGCGTTACGCAGGCGTTGCGGGGCTGTTTTGTCCTGATAATAGCAAGACTATTGAAGTTTTCTTTGCACACACTACCCAATCGATGAGTGTTGGCTATTTCGTTGACCGCGCCATGACCAGTCCGATGACGTACGTTTCCCGGCGATCGATGAACAGGCCAATGAGAGTCGATGCCTTTGCTCATCGTATTCACGCGGACTAAAGTGCGTACTTGTTCCACTCTTCCTCGTTGATGCGTGATTTTTTGGTTCCAACTGATTCATCAGACCTTACTGTATAAGGTGGAGATGTTTCGTTTGCAACCTGTTTTCCCCTGGTGAGTGATCTCTGACAACCGCGTATTCTTGGTTGCTCTGCACTTTTTATCTTATTTATATCTTTTGAACGTATGCTGCTGTCAGGTTTAACTAATAGCCATCGCTATATTTATCGCATAGGCTCTGTTCACCGTATTTTGCTCAGCCCCTTCACTATATAGAGCAGGACCTGTTGAGATCATTCTGTTTCGCGCTGTTGATTTGTGGTTTAGTCTGTGGCTATGACAAGTTTTTTTTGTATTAGTTTGGATGTGTGAACTAACGAATCTCTTTTCAATACCTCTAGCATGTTTTTGACTCATCCCCAAATACACTATTTTTTTTACAAAGCTGCCGTTGCATATCAGACGTTTCTGCACGTCACTATGGTGTGCGGTTTATCCTGCTTATTGTGCACTGGATAGTCTTAGCAATTGGTTTCTCATGATCCCTTTGCAAATAGGACACTAATACAAGCCGTTTACTTCGAGGTTCTGGCAACTCTTGTGCATAGTATTGTCACAGCACATGTGATCGAAGATTAACTACGTTGCCCCAACTTCGTCAAACAGCAAGCAAATATCATCCGCATAGTCAAGATCAACTATTTTCTCACCGGGAATCGCTCGCATCGTGAGATTCCTCAAGGGAACAATCTATGATATAGTGCGCAACGAAGTCGAGCATACGTTTGGAAATTGGACAATCCTGACAAACGCCACCTGTTGTCGGAAAGATTTCCTGCAAGTCACCGTAGACCCTGATGCAGCCTCTGGTGTTAGGATACATGGCACATGTTATATTCACATATTTCATCTGAATACCTTCCTGCACAAGTACAGTCCAACCTGCTATGGTGGCCACCTGTCTAAGGCGATCACCTGTTTATGGTGACCAGCCAAAAGCATCTCCAACGTTTTCTTTTATGAGTAATGTCCCTATGCATGAACCTGTCCATAACGACCACCTGTCCAAGGTGACCACTTTTTGTCGGTCCCTTGAGTGGTCGCCTTAGTCAGGTTTGATTGTATTTCGAACACAGTAAATGCATCGACTGAGTCGAACGCACTCTTGAACTCGAGGAACACAGATATTGTCCTCCTGCGGTATGCGTGGCGCTGCTCTAGTATCCGTCGCAAAGTGAAGTTGTGGTCTATACAACCACTTCCTGGGCAAAAACTGCCTGCTCCTCTCTGATCCGGGATTCCGGTTCCACAATAAGTCGACGGATGAGCATTATGGCTAGTACTTTTGTCCCCCACTGGTGTCAAGCTAATACCCCTGAGTTTATTGCTTTCGGTACGGATTTTTTATATTGCCATCATGATAGATTCACTCCAGTTATTCGGTATTGTCCCTTTCTTCCAGAGCTGTTCGAACAGTTGGGTCTGTGCTTTGCGGATAACATCACCACCATACTTAACTAGTGCGAAGAATCCTAACCAACAGCTCGATAACGATTGAGATCTCTGATCACGTTTCGAATCTCAGCCTCCGATGGCGTCTTTAAACTAACCCACCAACGCTCAGCCTGCACCACTTGAGTGGGAAGGAATCCGGAAGCAGGGGGGTTAACTGACCTGGACAGATTTGCACTTGCTGTCAGCCGCTTCGGGCTTTGCTTTGCACCATCGAAGTGCAAAGCTTTCCACCAAGATTGGCAGAGATCACCTCCTGCGCTGACCATTGGTGGGGATCAGTTAGAAGTCGTTCAAAAATTCAACTATCTGGGAAGTTGTATGAGCGCCCGTGGGATTGAAGATGAGATCACGAACCGTATAACAAAAGCTCGAGGCGCTTTTGCTAACCTTCCCTACTTATGGCGCCGGCGAGACATCACTCGCCCTGAAGGGTAGGGTGTACAATGCAGCGGTACGTTCGACCCTACTGTACGGTTGTGAAACCTGGCCCCTTAGATCAGCGGACATAAAGAGGCTAGTTACGTTCGACCGTCGGTGCCTTCGCAATTTAACTCACATCTGGTGGGAATACCGCGTGAGCAACGAGCGTGTTCGACGCCTTGTTTACGGTACAGGAAAAGGAAATGAACCGCTCAGCACCGTTATTTCACTCATTAGGCTCCGATGGCTCGGCCACGTGTTGCGCATGCCAGCCCACCGACTCCTGCGACGTGCGTCGTTAGTGCGCCTGGGGTGTGGATGGAAGAAGAGGGGTGGCCAAGCGATGACTTGGTCGAGAGGAATGAAGGCCCTCACTTCGGAGCTGGCCTCGGTTGGAGCTTTACGGTTTTCTGGTTGGGGTCCAAAAATGATGAACACGTTTGGCTGGATACACTTGCTGACATGGTTAGGAGCGGACCTCAGTGGCGTTCGTGCTGTGAGTTTCTTTGTCCCTCCCCATCCCTTTTAGCCTCCCCTCCAACCACGATCTCATTTCGTGGCGGAATATAATTTTACATTGTAATTTTTATTGTTGCCTAATAGCCGGCTGGTAGCTTTCCGGAACGATGCCCATCCGTTGCTGGTAGCTCAGCTGGCATGCCACTGTGGTATTTATTTTCTTTTTCTTTTGTGTATTGCGGCACGATAGCTGAGGTGCTTTACACCTCTAGCTAACGTGTATAATGCTGTTGATGTTGATGAACTCAACTGCTATCGCAAGTGCTCCGTCCCACCATCCATATGGTGCTCCTTATTGTGAATTGGGGCACACGCGCTGTCTTTGATTGTCTTGCTGACACCTGGTTTCCTGGGACCATTGGTGTGGATCAGTTGAGAGAGTTTCGATAATTTCCTACTTCTCCTGCCTTCTCCATTTCTTGATCTTTCTGAGTCCATTAGACTTCATTGTCAGCACGTAGGCTCCGCTTTTGTTCGCGCCTGCCATTACATCTGGTTTCATTGTGCACAGAGCCACCATGGACTTTTCTTATGGATTTTAATAGGTCCACTGTTCTTATCGGCTATTCAGTGACTGGTATAGTGACGATAGACAGTGCCGCAAACAGAGGCTCCTGCGTCGTGCATGGCGGCCGAGATTCTGTTCCACTGAAGCCCTATGTCTTTAGGACTAGTGGGTTAGTGTTTGGTACACAGGACATCCTGGTAGGCTTGTCTGACCTAGAGCTGAGATAACTTCTCATTTGCCAATCGAAGGAAGCGCTTGATACGCATCCAAGTAAATTTCATGGAAATGCGTACGTACCAAGGCATTATCAGTGTTGACGCAGGTATTCCAGAATGGGCAACAGTCCAAGATGAGAACACGTAACCGGTAACTTATGAGCTGTATGTGGTTGTGCCTCCGAGCCCCTTGTGGGCTACTCCTGCGAGCTTGGCCAGTGGTTAGAGGTCAAACGAGCTCAGTCTTCTGGTCCTTCGGCTTCGGGTTTGAAAATCTGCTGGCGTCCATTTCTGTAAAACCGGATCGATGTCTTCACCATCTCTCTTGTAGATTGTCTTTTGAGCCAAAAAACTGGTCGAGGACCCTAATTATTCTCATGTGTAGATTTGGGCGCCCTGACACTATCCCAGCACACGTATAACCATGACTATTTCATCAAGCTCCAAACACATCCTGAATCGACCGTCGCGCAGCTTATCAAGGATCGCCCTATCTACTGCATACATCAGCATACTTCTCCACTCGGCCGGTGGCCGAGTGGTCTGCACGTCTGGGTTGCAATCATAAGGTCACCGGTTCGAATCCGCGTAGGGGCGGGCGTCCTGGCAGTATACTCAGTTCACCCGCGACTGGTGGTGGTCGCGCAGCAGCGAAACGCCGTTACAGCGTACAGCTGACGACTTTTTCATCAGGGCGGATAAATGCAAACATGCTACTGCTGGCGCCTCCCTTCTTTCTTTTCCATTTGTTTTTCTTACTCCCCTCCCAACCCCCATTGCTTACCTTCCTTCTGTAATTTCCAGCTTGATTTATGACACCTACAGTACCACTTTAGGTTTGCCATCTTCAGATATCTTCCCGCACCGCGCAGTGGACTAATCAGCAACAGCCCCTCATGAAGCCACGCTGTATCGTTTCGCATCCTAGGACGAATAATTCAACTGGCTGAAATCGCAAGCATATTGGACACCTTCGGTATTGAGATGTGTTGCGTACCCTAAACTAAGGGTTCAACGTCCGTCAGGTGCTAACTACTCTCTTCTTATCCTTCCGTTATTGTTTACAGGCATCCAATTGCTGATGCGGCCGCCACTTCTTAGGCTGCGTTTAATATCGTTCTCAACTCCAAACTTGAGTCACGCCTGATTAATTGGATTCTCGTATGCAGACCGTTCGACGACATCAGCTAAGATTGAATGATAAAATGACACCAGATGTTATTTGTGGTTGGTTTCCGCTTATTCCCTCACCGACTGCAGTTTTGGTACTGCTAGGGATGCCTTTTACCATGAGCTGTTAACGTTACGTAGCAGCCAAGCGGTAGATCTCTACCGCAAGCCGTCGGATGCCGGTAACCAAGTGCTGGATAACGCAGCTTTCCAGTAGTAGCGGACTTCTCAAAACGTCCGAATAGCCTGAGTATAGCAGCACGGGGTCCAACAAATGTTTCCTGGATCATGCAACTCATCACCAACTGCGAAGACCATTGATACCCTTGTGGCTTATAAGCTTCCTTAGCGTCAAATTGCAAGTCCATCGCGACGAGACTGGACCTTAACGTAATGCGATGATTTGCGTTCCTCAGCGATCCATTGAGCTATGCTGGATTGTGCTTTTTGCATCTTCAGAGCCACTCATTCCAGATTAGTCAGCGGTTAGAGGCCAGACAAAATCAGCTCCCTGACTCTTTAGGTTGTGAATTGGCGTGAGGGTGGCTGCTTACTCTATAAAACGGACTCTGTAGTCCAGCGCCGAAACCTCGCTGCCTTGCGGCAAGGTTTTTGAACCAAAGACTGGTTGAGAACCCTAATCCTTCTCCTGTTTAGGCCTGGCCAACCTGACAGTATCCTACCAGCGTAATATAATTCTATGAACTTCTCCCCACCGCAACGAGACTGGACCTTAGCGTGATGCGATGGCTTGCGTACCCCCGTGA